TATATATATATATATAATATAATTATTATATTATTAATAATATATATAATATTATAAAATTAGGATAACATTATAATAATACATATATAAATGTATAATTATTAATAATAGTAATAATAATAAATATATATCTATATGTGTGTGTGTGTGTGTGTGTATGTATGTATATATATATATATATATATATATATATATATAATATATATATTTTGTATTATAAAATCATAATAATACATATAAAAATGTATAATTAATCATAATAAAAAATAAATAAATATATATATATATTTAATATTATACAATTATAATAATAATAATAATACATATAAAAATGTATAATTAATAATAGTAATAATAAATATATATATTTATATATATGTGTGTGTATGTGTATATATATATATATTTAATATTATAAAATTATGATAACATTATAATAATACATATATAAATGTATAATTATTATTAATAATAATAATAATAATAATAATAATAATAATAATAGTTATACATTTTGTATTCATATTATTATTATTATAATTTTATCATTTTATAATAGTAAATATAAATGTGTATATGTATATATATATATATATACATACATATACATTTATAAAAAAATATACATATATATTTATAATAATTATTATCAAAATATATATATATATATATTTATGTTATAATATATATATTTAATATTATTATAACATTACAATATATAATAATAATACATATGAAGTATGCAGGCCCAGGAGCTACATAGTTATGCATAAATCTAAAGGAGATTTGTATAGCAACTGTCCAATCAGATTGCGCCAGCCGACTAAACAGTTTTAGGCAATTTGATAATTGTTCAAATTGCCTAAAATGTTTAAAAATACACGTTCTTATCAAGCGTTCACATTGGATTGCTTCAATAAATACTATTTAGTGAATTTTCCCATATTATTGACCCCCCCAATAAGTAAACCAATGTCAGCAAGCGAAACCCAGTTTGAGCTTGGGGCTCCAGAAAAATGGCTCCTGCAGATGGGACAGGAAGTCATCTCTGGTGTTTGAAGGTCACGTGTGCCTGATGGTCAGCTGACCCAGCCAGCATGTTTGTGAGGCTTGGCAGGAGGTGCGGTTGAGCAGCAAGGGATCAGCAGAGTTTGCAGTGTGCTTTATAGGACGTTAGAGGTCTGATGGCTTTTTTTGTGACGATTTTGTTTCTTATTTCCTCTTTGGGGGGGCAGATTTGGTTTCCTCTGCTGTTTTATTATTGATGGGAATCCAATAAGGGGTTTCTGGCATCTTTGGGACACCGTCATGCCAGTGGTGATACATTTTTGCATGCGCCGAGCTCTGCTTGGAAAGGATTGAACAGACTTGACTTGGATGGACAAGGCATCGAAAGTAGGGAGGAGCGGCTTTTTTTGTGTGTCAGTGTCACCGGATCCCATGGGTCTTTAAATGTAGAACCACCTGGTGACCGGGGATGGGGCCTTGACTTCTATGGGTACTGGTAACTTAATTGTCAATGGTCCTGATCTCCGAGGCAGGAACAATTTGTCCCTAGTGACTTATTTGACAAAAGTCATGGTGGGTCACTGGTGTCTTGAGTTGTATAAAGTATAATCCCGATTTTTCAGCTATTTAAAGTACAGATGGGCAGGTAACTGGTTGGGAACCGGCATTGTATGGTGGAAGCTTCCACCTTGCACCAAACTGGACCCTGTACACCCAACGCTATGTTGGCTTGGAGCTGGAACCCTTCAGTCTACTCCAACCTTCTATCTCTCTTTATCTTTCAGGGTACAACTTGAAGTTGAAGAACATTTCCAAGGTGACCCCATGAAGATGGACAAAGTCACCGAAATTCCCGTAACTGACAGGGTACTGGACCTCACCCTGGAGATCATCTACCTACTGACCGGAGAGGTGAGGAGGATTCTGGGAGGTCACATGACATCACTCTTATCTCTATTAATAAAACACAGACCTGACTGGAGAGGTGAGGAGGATTCTGGGAGGTCACATGACATCACTCGCATCTCTATTTATAAAACCCAGACCTGACCAGAGAGGTGAGAAGGATTCTGGGAGGTCACATGAGATCACTCTCATCCCTATTAATAAAACAAAGACATGACTGGAGAGGTGAGGAGGATTCTGGGAGGTCACATGACGTCACTCCTATCTCTATTAATAAAATACAGACCTGATTGGAGAGGTGAAGGGGATTCTGGGAGGTCACATGACATCACTCGCATCTCTATTTATAAAACCCAGACCTGACCGGAGAGGTGAGGAGGATTCTGGGAGGTTACATGACGTCACTCTTATTTCTTTTAATAAAACAGACCTGACTGGAGAGGTGAGGTGGGTTCTGGGAGGTCACATGACATCACTCATCTCTATTAATAAAACACAGACCTGACTGGAGAGGTGAGGGGGATTCTGGGAGGTCACATGACATCACTGATCTCTATTAATAAAACACAGACCTGACCGGAGAGGTGGGAGGATTCTGGGAGGTCACATGGCGTCACTCTTATCTCTATTAATAAAAACACGGACCTGACCGGAGAGGTGAGGGGGATTCTGGGAGGTCACATGACATCACTCTGATCTCTATTAATAAAACACAGACCTGACCGGAGAGGTGAGGAGGATTCTGGGAGGTCACATGACATCACTCTGATCTCTATTAATAAAATGCAGAACTGGATTCACAGTCTCATTTAAAAATGAAAGAGAACCCAGTATCATAATATTCCACATTCATTTTCCTTTGGTACACAGGAATATACAGTCGTGAAAAAGACCTCTAGCTATCAGAAGAACTCCTGCAGGTGCCCTCATGGGCCCCAAGGATGGAACGGGAACCGGACCTCTTCCAGGAAGCCTCCACCTCGCACCCCAGTACTTGAGAGAAACAAGATGATCCTAGACATCACCAATGAGATCATTGAGCTGCTGACGGGAGAGGTGAGCGGTGCCAGGAATTCTGGGACATTCTCCAGTAACAGACAAGGGATGTGTCTGGATGGTGACTGTATCATTGTGTGTGTCAGGTTCCTATAAGGTGTCAGGATGTCACTGTCTATTTCTCCAAGGAGGAGTGGAAGTATTTAGAAGGCCATTGGGACATCTACAAGAACATCATGGAGAACCGGGCACCCCTCACATCACCGGGTAAGAGGAGACTTTAATTTCTTGTATTGAGGCTCCACCTAGATCCCCCATCATCTGATAAACACATAGAAACAATGTATCCAGTCAGTGTGTGTGTCTTCTACAGATGGATCCAGTGATGAGGACCCACCAGAGAGCTCTACCAAACCTGTGATTTCCCAGAATTCCACACAGGAACTTCCCACGATCCCAAAAAACTATCCTGTAAGTGAAGTCCATGAGCGTTCTAAAATTATTCCTAAACAGAATCTATCCTACTATACACTTTTAGACGTTTGACACCTGACCATCACACCTTGACTTTGACCTGTATGACCTGGACTTTGCTAGCCAATACTTTTCTATCTACTTGAAGGGTACACGCCACACACTACTTAAAAATTACTATTGTGTGTTACTCAGGATGAAAGCTTGATTGTTGTTAAAGTAGAAGTTGAAGAGGAAGCAGAAGAACCCTATATTCAATGTAAGGAAGAGGAAATTCCTGCTGAGATCAGCCCAGGTGAGGAACAAACACTAAATCCAGAGAAGAGTCCCAGATCCTCCTTGTTCAGTCACTACAACCATCTCTTCTTCTCCCCCCTCCTCTGTCAGTAGACAGTAATGGGGGGACAGTATGTGCCCAGTGGGGGAGTTAGGAGCCATCAGCCTCTATTTGACTCCGGCTATGGGCCATGTAAGGAGGAGGAGATCCCTCCAGAGATCAGCCCAGGTGAGGAATAAACACTAAATCCAGAGAACGGTCCCGGATCCTCCTTGTTCAGTCACTACAACCATCACCAGTGAGGGGGGTCAGGAGCCATCAGACTCTATTGTGTGTGCAGTGATCACCGACTTATAGTGTGAATGTGATAGTGTGGTGGGCAATCTGGCAATGACAGTGGCGCCGCTAGCGACACTAATACAGTGATCGGTCACGCTGTAGTATTGGGACAGGGGTGATCAGGAGGGCAAAAAAAGGGGTTAGCTGTGTGCCTAAAAAAGTGTAAGTGTGCTACTTTGGCTCACTGATTTGGCTGGGTTTATCTCCTCGCTTTCATTTCTTAACAACGGGGAGATTTCCAACCAGCACCTGTGTTTAAAAACACACAGATCTGTGCTGTGATTGGCCACAGCCTATCCGCAGGTATACAGCCAAAATGATTGGTTGTAACCTGCTAACAAATTCGTGCTGTGACCAAGTATAGCCTAAGTCAGCAGGGGGCCCCTCTGAAAGGACTTCTGTTGAAGGGATGATGTTTGACCAGTGGCAGCCTTTGATCAGTGTGCCGGTTGGGGTGGTGGGGAATGCACCATCTATAACAGGGGTGTCAAAAAGGCGGCCCTCCAGCTGTTGCAAAACTACAAGTCCCATAATGCCTCTGCCTTTGGGAGTCATACTTGTAACTGTCAATCTTGCAGTGCCTCATGGGACTTGTAGTTTGGCAACAGCTCGAAGGTCGCCATTTTGACACCCGTGATCTATAACATTTATGGTTAGCTTAACTCCTCCCCAAGAAGAAAAAAAAGAAGTTGTGCTGTATCTGATTAATGTTGGTTTTCTCATCCAACAGGTGAGGTATCTGCCAACAGAACCTTCAAGAAAGAAGAAGATCTCCTAGAATCCCAGAATATGGAGGACGATAGTCTGATGAAGCCAAGCGAAGAAACGGTTGGAACAAAGTCTGAGTACAGCTCCGGAAGCGGTGAGGAGGACTTTGAGTCGGATATGGAAGAAGACACAAAGCCAGTGCAAGATGGAGAGGGCAGGTTCTCTTGCGGGGACTGCGGCAAACACTTCCAGTACAAAGCTCATCTAACTGTCCACCGAAGAATTCACACGGGAGAGCGCCCTTACGAATGTCCTGAGTGCGGAAAATGTTTTGCCACCAGCTCCCAGCTCACCAGCCACAAGACCTCCCACAGCGAGGAGAAACGTTACGAGTGCTCCGAGTGCGGCAAGCGCTTCCGGTGGAAAAGTCTTCTAGTCGTTCACGAGAGGCGCCATAGAGGAGAGAAGCCCTTCGAGTGTCGTCAGTGCGGGAAAGCCTTTGCCGGGAAGTCTAATCTTCTCACTCATGAGAGGAGCCACATTGGAGAGAGACCGTTCACCTGCTCCGAGTGTGGGAAATGCTTTGTAGCCAAGCACACCCTGTCCCGCCATATGGTCATCCACACGGGCGAGAAGCCTTTCACCTGTCCGGAATGTGGCAGGCAGTTCAAGCTTAAGCAAACCCTGTGTAGCCATCTACGCACTCACACACGAACCCAGCCCTCTGGAGGAACAGACTTTAAAAGTCCGAGGGTCAGTCCTGATTGGGGAACGTCCCTTGAAGAACCTCAGGTCTGGCCCAAGTAGCCATAAAAGAAAAAAGAAAAAAATTGAGTGTTTGCAATGCACAAATCATTGGCCAATCTGAATCACCTTGGGTGGCTCTTGATAACACAGTGGTGGAAAACTATTGGAGCACACAGAGAGTGGGAAGTAATTTAACCAAGTAAGGACAAATTATTTCACATCAGCTGAAAAAGAGAAGGCAGCGTCCTCTGAACATGGCAAATGCTTCGTTTCAAAGCTCCACCATAATATACAGTTATAGAAGACCCTTCATCAGAACAAGTCTCCCATCATGTCTACTGCTATAGAAGACCCTTCAGAACAAGACTCCCATCATGTCTCCCGCTATAGAAGACCCTTCAGAACAAGACTCCCATCATGTCTCCCACTATAGAAGATCCTTCAGAACAAGGCTCATATCATGTCTACAGCTATAGAAGACCCTTCAGAACAAGACTCCCATCATGTCTCCCGCTATAGAAGATCCTTCAGAACAAGGCTCCCATCATGTCTACCACTATAGAAGATTCTTCAGAACAAGGCTCCCATCATGTCTACGGCTATAGAAGACCCTTCAGAACAAGACTCCCATCATGTCTCCCGCTATAGAAGATCCTTCAGAACAAGGCTCCCATCATGTCTACGCTATAGAAGATCCTTCAGAACAAGACTCTACCTACGCACCCTTGACTCTACCGCTGTAGAAGACCCTTCAGAACAAGACTCTACCATGTCTACTGCTATAGAAGACCCTTCAGAACAAGGCTCCACCACTTGTACCACTATAGAATTCCTTTCAGTACAAGACTCTACCATGTCTACTGCTATAGAAGACCCTTCAGAACAAGACTCTGCTATGTCTACTGCTATAGAAGACCCTTCAGAACAAGACTCTACCATGTGTACCACTATAGAAGACCCTTCCGAACAAGACTCCACCACATGTACCGCTATAGAAGACCCTTCAGAGCAAGACTCCACCACATGTACCGCTATAGAAGACCCTTCAGATCAAGACTCCATCATGTTCTGAAGGGTCTTCTATAGCTGTACACCTAATGGAATCTTTTTCTGAAGGGTGTTCTATAGTGGTACACATGGTGAGGTCTTGTTCTGATGGGTGTTCTATAGCAGTACACACAGTGGAGTCTGGTTCTGAAGGGTCTTTTATAGTGGTACACATGATGGATTCCTGCAGGTTCTTCTATGGCGATACACAAGACTTCATCATGTGTACCGCTATAGAAGAACTTTCAGAACAAGACTACACCACATGTACTGCTATAGAAGACCCTTCAGAACAATACTCCATCATATGAACCGCTATAGAAGACCCTTCAGAACAAGATTCCACCACATGTACCGCTATAGAAGACCCTTCAGAACAAGACTTCAGCACATGTACCGCAATAGAAGACCCTTCAGAACAAGACTCCACCACATGTACCGCTATAAAAGACCCTTCAAAACAAGACTCCACCACATGTACCGCTATAAAAGACCCTTCAAAACAAGACTCCACCACATGTACCGCTATAAAAGACCCTTCAGAACAAGACTCCACCACATGTACCGCTATAAAAGACCCTTCAGAACAAGACTCCATCATGTTCTGAAGGGTCTTCTATAGCAGTACACATAATGGATTCTTTTTCTGAAGGGTGTTCTATAGCATGGTGAAGTCTTGTTCTGAACGGTGTTCTATAGTGGTACGCACGGTGGAGGCTGGTTCTGAAGGGTCTTTTATAGTGGTACACATGGTGGATTCTTGTTCTGAAGGCTCTTCTCTAGTGATACAGTCTTTTTCTGAAGGGTCTTCTATGGCGGTACACAAGACTCCATCATGTGTATCGCTATACGAGACCCTTCAGAATAAGACTCTACATGTTAAGTGCATACAAGTTTTTAGGATACAATCTTCATGGTGCAGAAACAGAACTTGCAAAGTGTAGTCAAGCCACATACTTTCCTTGGGGTCAGCAAACCTTTGGCCTAGGCCTGTTATCTTTTAAAACTCAAGAGAACCACACGTAAAGACCAGAGAAGAAGTACATGCCATAGATTTGCATTTTTTTTTTGTAGAGCGTTGCAGGGCTTTTGTGTGTCCTTCATGATAGACCACTCATCATAAGGACAGAGGCCAAGAGCCATGGTGACCAGAACAATGTAATTGGTTCTTTTGCAAGAATAAAAGATTTTGTATTTTTTTGCGCAGATGTATGAGATTTGGGGTATATGCTAGTCCTGCTATTGTGCTTCCATCTTGCATTCATGGTAAGACTAGGGGGTTAGGTTGCAGATATGACACAGGAGTTAGTTACCCTGCGAAGGGGAGACGGATATAGTGAATGCGGGGTTCGGGAAGAGCGGATATGGTGAATGCAGGGTCCGAGGAGAGCGGATATAGTGAATGCAGGGTCCGGGGAGAGCGGATATAGTAAATGCGGGGTCCGGGGAGAGCGGAAATAGTGAATGCGGGGTCCGGGGAGAGCGGAAATAGTGAATGCGGGGTCCGGGGAGAGCGGATATAGTGAATGTATGGTCTGGAGAGAGTGGATATAGTGAATGTATGGTCTGTGGAGAGCGGATATAGTGAATGTGGGGTCCGGGAGAGCGGATATAGTGAATGCGGGGTCCGAGGAGAGCGGATATGGTGAATGCGGGGTCCGGGGAGAGTGGATATAGTGAATGTATGGTCTGGGGAGAGCGGGTATAGTGAATGCGGGTCCGGGAGAGCGGGGTATAGTGAATGCAGGGTCCGAGGAGAGCGGGTATAGTGAATGCTGGGTCCGGGGAGAGCGGGTATAGTGAATGCGGGGTCCGGGGAGAGCGGATATAGTGAATGCGGGGTCCGGGGAGAGCGGATATAGTGAATGCGGGGTCCGGGGAGAGCGGATATAGTGAATGCGGGGTCCAGGGAGATCGAATATAGTGAATGCGGGGTCCAAGGAGAGTGGATATAGTGATGGCGGGGTCCGGGGGAGACCGGATATAGTGAATGCAGAGTCCGGGGAGACCGGATATAGTGAATGCAGAGTCCGGGGAGAGCGGATATAGTGAATGCGGGGTCTGGGGAGAGCGGATATAGTGAATGCGGGGTCGGGGGAGAGCGGATATAGTGAATGCGGAGTCCGGGGAGAGCGGATATAAGTCAATGCGGGGTCGGGGAGAGAGCGGATATAGTGAATGCGGGGTCCGGGGAGAGTGGATATAGTGAATGCAGGGTCCAGGGAGAGCGGCTATAGTGAATGCGGGGTCCGGGGGGGAGAGCGGATATAGTGAATGCGGGGTCCGGGGAGAGCGGCTATAGTGATTGCGGGGTTCGGGAGAGCGGCTATAGTGAATGCGGGGTCCGGGGAGAGAGCGGATATAGTGAATGCGGGGTCTGGGGAAAGCGGATATAGTGAATGCGGGGTTTGGGGAGAGTGGATATAGTGAATGCGGGGTCCGGGGAGAGCAGATATAGTGAATGCAGGGTTTGGGGAGAGCGGATATAGTGAATGCGGGGTCCTGGGTTTAGTAACACTTTAAGAAGGTTGAATGGCTGATTTTCTAAAAATGATCAAAAATATGAGATTATAAAATTACAATTCTTACAATACTGACATGTATGAAATATACGAGTTTTGTGATTGGAGCCTGTACTGGGCAGCTACCTTTTACATCCTTTAGAACTCTCATACTAGCAGTGGACATGCTTACGCTTTGATGAAGGAGTCAAGGACTCGTCCCCGAATCACTGGCCCGTGACCACAAAGGAATGTGTTATGATCCGCCAGGGGGTGCCTCAGGCTGCCAACTGACAGACCTACTCAGAGCGTGGGGTCTAAGCCCGGGCTGTGCTTTCACCAGAGCCCCTGATGGTGGGGATGGACTTGAAACAGTCCCGGGCCAGGTCACGACCTCCGAGCAGGCCCGCCAGTGGCTGAGGAGACCTTTGGGGACAGGTACCGGGAGAGCCAGATATGAAGAGGATGGCGGCCCCAGCAGGGTAGTAACGGATTGTGGGCCCGTGAGGGTAAGCGGGGTACAGAATCGGTAGGCGAGAGTAGTCGGGTCACACGCAGGGTCAGCAGGGAAGTCAATCCGTAGAATGGTCAGGGCAATCCGGGTCAAACGCAGGAGCAGGCAGAAAGTCAGGACAATCCGGGTCAAACGCAGGAGCAGGCAGAATAGTCAGGACAATCCGGGTCAAACGCAGGAGCAGGCAGAATAGTCAGGGTCACAAGATAGGTGCAGGAACTCAGGATCACAGGAAGACCTTGCGGCAATCTGTGACAGTGCAGGGCATCTTTAAATAGTGCGCCCTGCACTGTCATTGGCCGGCTAGGACGCGCCCCCGGCTGTCATTGGACGCCTGAGGGCGCGCCCGCGGCTCCTACTGCGCATGCGCGGCGTCTCTGTCAGCCGCGGCTCGCCGGGACCTAGTGCCTGTGTCCCGGCGTGATCTGCCGCCAATGCTCATGCGCGAGGGACGGAGCCGCGATCGCGGACCATGGAGCCGCGATCCCTGACATTGCCCCCCCCCAATGGGCACCCTCCGGGAGCCCCACAGATCTCTCCACCGCGGGTGAGCACGATAAAAACTCCTGGATGAGCCTGGGCGCGTGGACGTTCTGGGGCGGGTTCCCATGAGTTCTCCTCAGGGCCATACCCCTTCCATTTTATCAGGAACTGTGTGTCTGGCCCCCCCTCCTTCGGCAACTGAGGATAGTCTCCACTTCATATTCCTCCTGGTCACCTATAGTGACTGTTCAGGTCAAAAAATTTTTTTAGGCTTTTCCCCCGAAAAAAATTCCAAAACTGGCCCCCCCTTTCTTTTTTTAAAATCCCACCAAAAGGTTTTTTCAATCGGATTTAAAATCTGGTGACTGCGATGGCCACTCCCAAAATGTTTCCAGCCTTTTCCCCTGCAAAACCTTTCTCTAGTGGACTTTGGGGGTATGCTTGGGGATCATTGTCCTGTTTAAAGGTCCCCAAAGTCTTTCCCCAAGGCCCCAGGTTGTGAGGACTGGGATCAACGTTTCCCCTTTCCCAAAATCCCTGGGACGGAAAAGAAATTCCCTGGTACCTTCACAAAAAAAGGGCCCGAAGCTTTCCCGTACCTTTCAGAAACAAAACAGCCCCAAAGCAATTGACCCCCCCACCAAGCTTCAAAAGTAGGCAAGGTGTTTTTTCAAACATAGGCCCTTTTTTTCTTCCTCCTCCAAACATAGGTTTATCCATGGGCCCCAAACAGTTTTTTAATTTTTTTTTCACCAGTCCACAGAAACTAAAACCCCCAACTTTGTGGGTTTTTCCCCCAAAGGCTTTTTGGGATACGCAGTCGACTCTTTTCTTCTTAAATTTTTTGGAGACAAACCAAGGGGGGGACGCCCCGGGAATTTTTTGCACGGGGGCCTTCATTTCCATGTGCGTCTTATTTTCTGGGCTGAAACTTCTTTGTACCCACATCTGACAAAACTTTTCTCATTTTCCCCAGCAGTCACACGGGGGCTTCTCCCCACTCTACCTTCAGGGACGACGGACAGCCGAAATCAGCATCTTTTTTCGCCACGACCAAAGGGAGCGTTTCAAACAGTGCCCTTTTCCCCTTTAAATTTTCGAATGGCCCTTTCCCAAAGGGTCTCTTGGTTTTGTTTTTAAAATCTTTGCAATCTTCTTTTAGCCATTGCCCTTTCCCCCTGAAGAAAATCACCTCCCTTTTCCCTTTTCCTTCCTGGACCCCTTCCCCTTTTCCTTTACCATGTTTGTAACCCCAAACCCGTAAAGTCTAAAGGGGCGAGTATCACAGTATTTTTTAAAACTGCCTAATTGGTCTTTTTAAAATTAAAAGCTTTATTGGGGGCTCCCGGGACATCCCCCAGGGGTTTTCAATACCTGGGGGAAAACA